GTTACGTGTGCTTAGGATTTTACCCTTTCCATTGAAAACAATAACTTTAGATTTATCAATATATATTAACTTTTAGTTTCCAATGATCTCAGTATTTTTGATGACGATGTAGTCGCCTGATGTGTAGTGCTTATAAAACAAGTGTCTGGGCTTCAAGTGTTTCTTTAGATTTGTCTCACTAATTGTAGACTAAAGCTTTCGATGAAAAGATACTCATGGAACGGAAAAGCTTGGAAACTGTTGCTGGTGAAGTCATTGAAAATGAAAAAGAATTTCAGAATGTATATTATTTATCTCAGTTTGAGATGATTTTGCATCAAGTCGCATCAACACACTCGGCATTACAATATTTGTATTTCGTTCAAAAAAGGCATTACTGTTGTTTACTCGTCTCTATAAATGTATTCATGTACATACAGGGAACAATACATTGCAAACATATATCAGTATTCTTTATTACGCAGACACACAAGTTATCCTGAGTGTATGTTTGGCTTAGTAGATACGCAGATTAGTTTGGACAGGCGTTGGTACTTGTAGTCGGCGTATTAGAAACACATGCAGACTGATATATATATTTTATTTTATTTTTTGTGCTAGGCGACAGTTACGGACATTGAATGTCACTGTTGTCTCTCCTGACTTTTTTTGTAAGAGCAAGTGCTAGTGCTGACACATAGTGCATTTTGCCACAGATTCATGTTTGGGACTACAGAGGGCTGTGCGGTCATCTTCCTATCAAATGACAATTTAAGGTGCTATCCTGGCGTCAACCACATGCAGACCTTAACCAAGGTTCCCTCAAAGTCGCATTCGTTAGTGAATGAATCTCGGCAAGTGGAATTGGCCTTCCCATTGAGTCTGTGGTACACTCACCCAGGGTAGGGGTTGACCCTTTCGATGATCAGCCTAAGGTAGGATTTGAACTTGGGTTTACCGATCATGAGTCTGATGCGACAACCACTATGCTATCAGACTGATATATTAAATATCGTTAATTGACATCATTTGTGTCATTTCTGAAATTTAAATCATATTCCTATAAATGAGAAAAATAATAAAAGATGAATATCACTAGAGTAAATAATAAACATTTCGCAATAGAAGTACATGTATATTCACTTATACATTACATGTATTAGTTGTCTACTTAAATTCTGTATTCTACAAGTTTTATTATAAGTTCTTTAAATTATTCTACAAGTACATGTATTACTATTTTCTACTAGTATTACTATTACTATTTTTTATTAGTATTACTACATGTATTATAATACTATATTCTGCAAGTATTACCATTTTCTATGTTATTGGTAGTCAGTTATTGAGTGTATTTCTGACTAAACACTGTTGTATGTAAATGCACAAACAAATTGCACACATTTACAAGAAGCTGACCACAACTTTGACATTTATAATCATAAACACATGATAACTTGCTGTTCACGTATCTAAACACTATCAAATATGCATTTACTGTTTTACCTAACACACAAGTTGTTTGCTCAATGGTATATTAGACAAGTCAATAAAAAATAGATTTCTAAACACCAGACATTCTAAAAAAAGTGCAAATCATTCCAGGATGTCAAAAAAAAAAAAAAAACTACACATGGCATGCTCTGTATAAGTATATACATATACTCATAATGTCTCTTTAAAGGAGTGTAATGTAGAGTGTGTATTATGTAATGTAGAGTGTGTATTATGTAATGTAGAGTGTGTATTATGTAATGTAGAGTGTGTATTATGTAATGTAGAGTGTGTATTATGTAATGTAGAGTGTGTATTATGTAAAGCAACTCAAAAATATAAGTCTTGTGGTTATCCAAGTTATAAATTTCAGTTGACAAATTCATTTTATTTATCATGAACTTCAATGAAATTTTCCAAGCAACCTGATTGGATTTGGTAAATACTGCACATCCCTCCTTATTTTGCTGAATGGTTTAGCCCTAATTATTACCAGCACTGTTTCTTTAAAGGCGTGTAAAATACATTGTTTATTTACATGAAATTCGAACACGCGACGACCACCGCGCTTTAATATGATAACCCAAGCGAAAAGTCCTAGTAGAATTCTATTATTAAATTCATTTGAAATACATAAGAAAAATTAAACATTTACAAAAAAAAATGTGATATGATAAGAAAACCAAAGAAAATGCTGAACAAGGACAAAAAATAATTCAAAGACAAAAATACATAAAAATAATAGAATTCTTCATTTAAAAAAAATTAAAATAAAGGAGTAAAAAAGTTTTTCACATGGGATTTGATTTCTTGATCTGCCAAAGCAAAGCAAAGGTATTAACCATTACACTTTCTAATAGACATTAAAATAACATTCTACAAAAATGGCCCAAAAATATTATAAAGTACCACTTTTGAAATTTTTTTGATTGGGATTTATGCGATGTAACTATACAATGGCGAATCACAATTTGCATGTTTATTTACATTTTTAGGGGGCATCAAATAAAATCAGTTTGCAGAAGGCAAAATAGCTGTCTGAGGGTTTAATGGTAACCTGGACTACCTTAGGTGCATTGTTTGGCATTGCATAACAGTGGACAGAAATGAAGACAATTACAGTACTTAATATGTACACTGTACATACACCATCATTATTATCATCCTATATTCTTCTTCAAGTGAGAACAAACTGACACTTATTAAAAATGATTATTCCATGAGAAAATATGCAATCTCCGACATGTGAACTTTCATGTAGAGTAATCATCACAAGTCAGTGTCTCATTGAGTCAGTATGTGGATTGTTACATGTCAGTGTCTCATTGAGTCAGCATGTGGATTGCCACATGTCAATGTCTCATTGAGTCAGCATGTGGATTGTTACATGTCAGTGTCTCACTGAATCAGCATGTGGATTGCCACGTGTCAGTGTCTCATTGAGTCAATATGTGGATTGCCACATGCCAGTGTCTCATTGAGTCAATATGTGGATTGCCACATGTTAGTGTCTCATTGAGTCAGCATGTGGATTGTTACATGTCAGTGTCTCACTGAGTCAGCATGTGGATTGTAACATGTCAGTGTCTCATTGAGTCAGCATGTGTATTGTCACATGTCAGTGTCTCATTGAGTCAGTATGTGGATTGCCACATGTCAGTGTCTCATTGAGTCAATATGTGGATTGCCACATGTCAGTGTCTCATTGAGTCAATATGTGGATTGTCACATGACAGTGCTCATTGAGTCAGTATGTGGATTGTCACATGTCAGTGTCTCATTGAGTCAATATGTTAGTATATGACCCAAAAAATCTCACGCAGCTCATTCAAAAAAAATGATTAAACAATTATTATTGGCAGAAAACTAGATACATATGATTTTGTTTGCCAAGTTGTTTATTTATTCATTTTTTTAACCTGATTGATTTTACCAAAACTTATTTTCTTAGACTTAGAAGTTCTGTATGGCATCATGTTAGTTTTGGCGGTACCGCTTTCGCAAATGCCCTGCGGTGTTTGGTGCCGGTGGTGGTGTCTGCAAAGCGTGATGCCATACAGACATATTTGTTCACTTATTGATTAATAAGCTATATGTTTATTCATCACCTACAGTATTTGTATTAACTTTCATATTCATTTATTTAGTTATTTATTAATTTGGTTAGTTAATCTTCATATTAATATACTTATTTTTGGCCCTCTACTATGTACATTATAATTTACTTCCAATGTATATAGGAAATCAGACTAGACTAGCAGTAAGCTATTTTCTGATTTCCTTTTTACCCAATATATATATGTATTTTTCTTACCATTTGTTTTTCTGTATAGCTTACTTTTGTTTTTTGTTTGTTTTTTCAGTGTTTCATTATTGGGTAAATAAATAAAAAATATTAAATATTATATGTGGATTGTCACATGTCATATTCAGGGTCTCATTGATTTTTTTCATTAATGTAATCTTCAAATAAACGTGTTCTTTGCGAAAATATTTGTATTTTGACCATCATTAATTATTTTTTACCAGTCTAAACTGGTTCTATTAAAAGTGAATCGTGGTGAGTTCTCAGAGTAAAACTGAGAATACCATCTTCTATGCTTGGCTACCAATTGGTCTTCTTTCACAAGTAAAGGTTTGCTTAACCAGCGTTTATTGTTCCATACCATAACATCACGCTCAAACTAAGAAACAAACAAATAAATAAGTGTTGGATAGTTCCACATTAGTTGCAAAGAAATCCAATCAGATGCGTGTATCACCCCACCCTCCCGTTTCATGTACAAAAAATCCACAGCACTTGTATCAATTACCAACCTGTACTAGTTCTCCAAAAAGAAAGAATTTAGCGATAAATGTGGGAACAGTCCAGCTACCATAGATAGTATGAGTGACTTTAAGTAGCAATGGTTCAACTGGGGTAACGTGCTGAGTAAGCATACAATCTCCAATCCAACTCTTGAAATGTAAGAAAACAAGTCCAGGTCCCACCTACACAAGTAAAAAGATGTAAACATTCAAAGAAACCTTAGAAAGAATTCCTGTGTGCTGAGGTTATTGATTGCATTAAGTTTACATGTATATGTACCATATTTATTATTATAATAGAAGCAAAAATTGCCATGATTGTAAACAATCGTATTGTAAAAAATTGTATACAAAACCATTGAAATATGTTGCCTCTTGATCACTTACATATCAGTCTATAAACTTCTAATAGAGCAAATACACTATTTGAATTACAAATTTAATTAGTTTTCCAAACAAGATGCCTGTCAGCTAATATAACTACTCAGTATAATAATATAACAATGTCAAAACAATTACTGATAGTATTTAAGTTCATAAAACAAATAAAAAGAAATTAATGCATTACATATAAAGTCTGGACATGGAAAGTCTGACATTGTCAGAAATATGACTTTAAAAATGCATTCACTAAACCAAAATGAATCCAGCATATGGGAACTAACAAAAGAAATAATTTGATTGTACAAAGATGTGTTTTTTTTTTCATTGAAGTTTCATTGAAATCCTATAACGGGTTATTGAGATATCAGAAAATTTATGTAATTATGTAGCTAATTATGTAGTTAATATGTATGGTTTTAATTCTAGATATTACATATATAATGTACTGTAATTTATTTCAATTTGATGGAAAATACAAGAGGTATAAGTGAAAATTTGTTAATTAGTATGCACAAAATTCAACACTAAACTAAAATACATATGTACCAGGTTTCATTCAAATTGAAATAGTGGGTAAGAAGATATCAGAAAATTACCTAATTTGAGCAGACACACACACACACTGACAGGGACCTAAAAAGGCTCTCACTGTGTGCTTTACATACAGGAGTCAATTAGTGCAGCAATTGTGAATGACCTTATATATCTTTGTATTCAGCAAATAAAATTTGAGGAAGCAAACAAAATTATCTAAATTGCATCAAAATCTTTGACTTTAAACAAACATTAAAGAAATCCACCCAAATAAGACCATTTTCTTCAGATTATTGGTTGGTATACAAATTATTACATACCCTTTGTCCTCTCTACTCTCTACTGTATCTTACCTGTCTTGCTTGTACTGACACCTCCACTGGTGTAATAGGAATCCCTAATAAGGTCATTCTATGTGTTAGATTTAACACTCCAATATGTGCGTTATCTTTATCCTGATGCCATGACGCATCCCAAATGTGTGACCAATGAACTCCCAGAATCTTAAAAAGAGTTGTAATAAAAATATCGGTCAATATACATTTCCTACAATACAATCCTCTTTCATTATACCATTGAGATTTCAGTGAGAACAAAACCATACACATATAAGACAAATGTTTGTTCCCTAAAATATTATATTCTTTCCCATCATCATGCCTAATTGCCATGGTTACATAGGTCAGGAGGACAATTCAAAAAAAAGTATTAATTGTGACACTCTCACTCTTGGTGACTATTTGAAAACAATTTATGGGTCCCACCTTGAATGTGTATATCTGAGATCAATTCCACTTGCCATAAACGGACCATGTAAATAATGTAAATGTGACACATCACCACCATTCTCAGGAATTTCCTATACATTTGTACAAACAAAAAATGTATAATTGTGAGTCTAGATTTTAACACGCATCTTGATTTTAATTGACCTCATTCTAATTTTCTCACAGTGAGAATTGTATAAATGAGATTACTGACCATTGTTCTAATAAATTAATAGAATATAGTTAAATTGTAATTACTGGTGAAAGTGTAGTCTAACAATTTGTGAGAATGTGTCTCACTCTTGCTTCACCATGTTTTCAATAGTGTAATCATTCAATGTCAAATAGCGCCCTCTACCACAGTACATGGTTGTACATATCGGTAATTGTTTTCATCACAAGTACATGGTAGTCAAAACAGTTTTTATTTTGAATGAACTCACCAAATAAAACATCCCAACATTGAGTTGGCAAATGCTAGTCATAATTATAATAGTAATAATTTTATTTCCTCCTTATAAACAATTTTCCATTAGTTTATATTTTTTTTCAAAATAAAGAAGAGATAATATAAGAATGTACCTATTGTTTGAAATAAGCAACAGTTTATTGTATTGAAAATAAAAAAAAAATATTTTTCTTATTCTATATTTATTCTATTCTGTTGTTTTCACTATTATATTCTTTTGTAATCAATATTCTATTCTATTCTATTCTATTCTATTCTATTCAGTTCTATTCTATTCAGTTCTGTTCTATATACTTGCCTCAATATGCGCATTGATATGATGTTGTGCGAACCCACGGAATGTCCAACTCCCGTCTTCTACTTCATCCACAATTGGTGGAGTCCAATGTGGTTGTCGTCCCTCTGCATCGTACCACATCAGTATCATACCATTTCTTTCTAAACTTGACCATGATCTTATTTTAGCAAAATCTGGTACTGTGTTGCAGGAAATAAAGGACATATATTTACTAATTTAAATCTACTAAGTTAAAAGGACAATTTGCCAAAATAATCAGAAATATTCCATTTATATATTTTGATGACCTGATATCACATGCTCATAAAGCTGATACAAGTGATGTCATAGGCTAATATTATTCATGAACTAAAGGTAACTTAGCAACCAATGATAATTTGTTATGGCATAACCAACATCAAGTGTCAAAAGTGAGAAATTGTGATTTCCAAATAACATTTACAAATGCTATGCTAATTTATGCTAATTATACACAAAATCTTAAGGGCATCATCACGGTTACTAAAAAAGTAACCGTGGCATCATGAACATGCATTTCCAGTTATGACTGCTGACAGTTTTCAAAACCAACAGAAATATGATTCTTATCAATATTTTTTCAAAATAAACTTTCAGTCATCATTAATGTGAACAATTGTCCAGCCTGAATTTCTTGCAGTGATAAAAATAGTACCATCACAAGGTTTGGTTTTCTCCACACACAGTCTCATGATATTTACCACAGCTATACTTACTATGTGTAAACACCCAAACTGAAGTTTAATTAACAACTCTCCAATTACTTTAAATAAATAGAATATAGAATATTCAACTGCAACAGATTATTCCCAGTCAATGTGTAATTCTAACCTTTTTCTGTGTATGGAATATCAACACACTTGCCGTCTTCACCACGAAACACCCATCCATGAAATGGACATTCGATACAATCTCCGAGTACTCGTCCACCAATAGCTACGTTGGCACCCATATGAGGGCAGTATGCATCCACAATAAATACTTCTCCACTCTCGCCTCGAAATACCGCAATATGTTCACCTACAAAACAATAAAATATATATATTATTATAAAATATATTATTGCCACAACTTTAGCTGAACAATATGAATGATATAACAAAATATATTGTTGATTTTATTGTCAATGTGTTTATTTTAATTGATTTTTGTCATTTATGGTTTTGTTTGATTTTCTCTCAGTATTCAGTGTTTTTTATTTGTAACCATTTTCTCACTTCGGGGATTGAATTAAGTGTTTTTTTAACATGTTTTTTTTATTGCAACCGTAGCTAGGGTTGATATGCTTGATTGAGATTTTGAAACTGGAGATGGAATGTTGGCAGTACAAATAAGTAGGACAAACATTGTTGTATAATAATGTTAATATCAATATTCAATGCTTGATGAGAATCTAATATTTTATTTTATTCAAAAATAAAAAATTATGCTATCAACCTCTGTGAATGCATGATAGGACAGACAAGCTGAACTATTTCCCATCTGTCCACACATTTGATGATAAATTACAACAAAGGTTTATGAATAAAGAGCTGTTATCGCCGTAAAAATGTTAAATTAGTCTTCAAATGGTCAATTTATCATCGAAAACAACTAATGTTTTGATTTCAAAAAAAAGTGCCGTCTTCCCATCAAAACCAGAGGTAAAAGATCGAGCTGGAACATCGGCAAATCTCCTCCGTTTTGGTAGTTTGAGCACGTTGGCATCACCGAGTATTTTGACTGGCTGATTAGCGATTTGACCTATAAGGTGTCGTTCATTTGCATGCGGCTGGAATCATTCGCTTACGATGAAACTAAATTGAAATTTACTTGCATTTCAAAACAATTCAACGAGTTTCCTTTTTGTACCTTATTAATAATCACTACCAAGTAATAATAATAATTGTGAAACGTAGCATGGTCGGATTGCGCTACCGTGATTATTTGCTACTAAACAATGCAGTGTTCGTTTTTTAAAAACTTTTTTTTTAGGAACGCCAGAACGATGTTGGTTACTACTATGTGGACATTTTTCTTTCGATCGTACGGCAAAGACTTGTGTTTTCTAGACAGTCTGGAAAAGGGAAGGGGTACAGTGAATACTAGTAAGTGTCAGACTGCATTGAGCTGCAAATAATAGTTATGTAATACTGGTAGGCATGCAGGAAATAACCGTTCTGTTAGAGGTTCCAAGTTTCGGATATCAACAAGACATTGGCCTGACTGCTTCGTATGGTGTTACCCTTTGTTTTATTTTTCGCGAAATACTTCGACAGCTCAAAACCGCGAAATAAGATGTTTCCACAGCACACACCACAGAGTACAAGAAGTAAATACGCAATGCTTGATGAACATCCAGGTCTTGGCATAGGAAAATAAATCAGTTTTGTTTCTGTATTTGACTGTTGGACGAAACGGCACCCAGACAACACGTCACAGGCAGTTCCAATTCATATCTTTTACAATAGATCGTTTTCGTTCATGCGTCGCATCATGGAGGTAGTCTTTTTTCTACCTCCATGGTCGCATATATGTCCAGAAAATTTAACCGAGTGTATGTGTGTATTTATATTTTATTTTTGGATTCTTATTTATAATAAATACAACGCTGCAGATTGGTCGTTGAAATTGAGTCTGCGGTAAAATTGTTTTGACAGAACGCTCTTCTCCCCCTCACCGCTCATTTGATTTTGACTGTAAAGTCAACCCGACTTTCACCCACCAGATCACAAGAACTCAAATCTCACACGAGATACAAGCCGGTACCACCCGTGTACATTTTGATTTTCCACACGAGTGTCGTAAACAGGTTACAAGATAAACCCGTGATGTCGCGGCGACTTTTCTTTACTAATGATTTTGATATTTTATCACGGGAATTTCCGTATAGTAACCTGTACTTATAATATACAGTAAACTTTTTCATTGTTGTCTCTACCAATTAGTCAATATTATATGAAACTTGAAATACACGTTCTGTTTACCGATTTATGGCGGAAATATGAAAACCGAAGTCCTTGACTTCGTGTTTTTACGCTTGTTATATTAGCAGTCTGGAGGAGTAGTATGTATACAGAATGTGCATAGGAAGTTTCGTTCTTAGGTTTACTGTATACGAGATCACTACCGTCCATAGACCGATGCAACGAAAACAGACAAATAAACTTTAGCAACAATCTGGTCGTGTGTATCCAGTCGGTGGACTGCTGCTTTTTCTTGTTGACCATCATCAACTTGAATTAGTTCCGCGTCATATTTTTCCGACGATGTGTAAATTACCGAGCGCGCGATGTTTCAAATCATGGCACATAAAGACTGCTCTGTATTTGTTTGAAATTCAATTGCTATGTTATATCACAGTCGGTCCCTCTATCTATCCCTATAGAGGGACTGTGGTTATATTTAAACAAGCAAATTGTAATCCGTTCTTAGGATGTTTATATCAGTTGTTGTTTTGTGGGATTAGCAGTACAGGGGGAAAGATAAGCATTCATCTACTCAGTAGACAGAGGCGGAGTTAATTACCCATGAGCACTTGGTGCAATCCAAGGGATTGAGCGGTTCCCCTTT